TTCAGCTCCATTTCTAGGCATTTTTATTGAACTTATAATTCAAAATTCAATTTTAATACAAAAAAATAACAGTCTTCAAAGTTCAACATCAATAGAGTCGAATTAAAGTTTAGTAGGCTGTGCAAAAAAATCTGATATTCTGACAGGTCATAATCACTAGTGTGATGTTATTGGTAATGTTGAGATAATTATTACTGGTGCTTGTATTGGGTTGTTACATTTCAAAGTGTTCATAATTGTGCCTACAATAACTTTACCAATAATATCGCCGCAACTATAGTGATTATGAACTGTCAGAATTTTAATTTTTTCTTCACAGCCTACTTTACCGCAGCTTATGAATAAATAGTAAAGTATAAAATGAGTCCTCGAAAGTTTTTAAAATCATCAACAAATTATTCTGTTAAACAAACAAATTTATCGATAGTTCACCTAATTTGACTCTAATGACGTTGAACTTTGGAGACTGTTATTTTTCTGTATAAAAATTGGGTTTTGAATTATGAGTTCAATAAAAATTCCTCGAAATGGAGCTGAATATTTCAAAACATGATAATAAACCATCTTTCAAATTGGATGCGCACTCGTAAAAAGTAGGTCACTTCATTCATTTTTTTCCGCTCTTTCCAAATATCAAAACCGATCAATAAAATTTTGCAATACAGAGTGTTGTTTTTGAGATAAAAGAAGTTTTTTGTTTTTCCTCAAGACGGACCTGGATTCTGATCCAGATTTTCATTTGGTTTTGATGGGTAATATAAGGAAAATATTTCTAACAAGTATGGATAGATTATACAAAGTGGTTCAGAAGTTATAACCAGATGAAGATTTTGCCAATATCAAGATAACGTCCTGTATCTCAGTTATCAAAGACGGTAGACCATATCGATGGGGGGTGATTTGGAACCACCGAGGTGTCCTCTATCTACAGGTATCGTATGTACATTTAAGTCTGAAAGAGCCTGTATAAAATATCGTCTTCGGTCATCCGTCAAAATTGAATGGTAATTAAAATTAACGTTTCAATTGTCGAAAGTTTGATCGCTAAAACGAGGTTGGCTGGCAAGTACGATAATTTTTAGTAAACAGAATATATCGCTGTAATATAGGTGAAAATAGTCGATTTCGATTGGTTCTTGAGAACAAGGTTGGAATAGTCACTGTAATACCACTAATAGTTAAATCACTTGTCTTCCTGCTATCCACTCGGAATACGTTTCGAAATATTCATGAGCAAATAGAAATTTACGGAAAATAATTAAACCTCGTGTGGTATTCGGTAAGAAAATTCACAGTAGATAGTGTTTGGAAAGTAAATCATTTTAGAATTTACGTATTTATTCGATGTTCATATAGGTTCATGGACACATTTAGTTCATGTCGCAGTTTCGGCACCAATAATAGATCCCTAGATTACAAATTCCTAATTTCTACCTACTGTAGTTGTATTAAAGTACCAGTTGAGTATGTAACATTATATTCTTAATTTTTATATCAACTTCGAGATACTACAAGTACTGAAAAATTATAATTCCAAAGTTGAGCGTAACCTGGCCCACTAAAATTCAATCAGCAATATATAATAATAATAATAATAATAATAATAATACGTTTATTATTCACCAAAATGAAATTACATTAGATAGGCATAATACAAAATAAGAATTCATCTGGTGAGTAAAGGGCCAGAGTTCAGTTTTCATTCTATAGGTAAAACGAAACTGTTCTTCCAATCTGGCCGTGCCTAAATCTACATCTAACTCTACAATATACTCGAAAACAACAGCAAAAAAAAAATCAATCAATATAGGAGGAGATGAGTGAATAAGAAACAGGAAAAAAGAGATGAAGTAAGAAAGATAGCAATAGGGAGAGAAATATATACACATAATATTTATGAACACAAAAATGATACAATTTTTAGGTTTGATTTTGAATTTGAACCAATTGTTTGAATAACATATTTTTGAAAGATTTCTGCGAAAGCGTGAAGTCTGTTATATTTAGAGCATTGATATGATAGGAAATATTATACGAAAAGCATTTTTTGAAGATTTCTTTCCTATGTCTCGGTATAGTAATGAGACTGGTCTGCCGAATATTCAAATTATGCATGTCACTCCTGAATGTAATTTTTTTATAAAGGTAATCCGGTTTTTTTGTTTTCATTACTCTGTAGAAGCTGCACACCAAATGCAGTTTTCGCCTGTTTTGCATGTTCAGCCAGTTGACATCCTTCAATTTATGTGAGATTCTCTGGTATTTTCTAATGCCAAAAATAAGCCTCAAACAAGAATTTTGTACTTTTTGTATGCGTTTAATATCGACAGAATCTAAACAGGGTCCATATACCGTATCACAATAATTAAGTTGAGAAAGTACTATAGAGTCGCATAACATTTTCTTCACATCTTTTCCAAGAGAGTGTCTATGAGGATATATCATTTTTATATTGAAGTAACATTTCTTCAGCATGTGATTGACATGTTCTTTGAAACATATGTAGTCTAAGAGAAATCCCCCCTGTGCCACATGGGTTTAACTCCACCTAGACTAGAAGGGAAGAAACACTCCACAAAACTGACCCAATATCGAAGAATGAGGGTGGCTGATTGCCCTTCTGGCCTAATTTCAACTACGAAATAGCCACAATTCTCAAAATGGAATGAATGTCAAATAAATATGAAAAAACTCAGAATAATTTCCACTAATGTTCATGAAGTGAACAACAATGGTAGATCACGAAATAAAAACACTACTTCCCTGTCTAATACCACGCAGAACATCCCAGATAGCACACAATCGCCTAGGGTCATCCTCAATGTGTCGCCAAACGCCTAGAGAGGACGTTATATTTTCTACAACCTAAGAACATCATCAGGCGTAGATTTAGCGCCGTAATTGTCCTAGAAAAGTTCTTTCAGTGACAGCCTGAGGCTGCGGATTTCGTGCCTACGGATGTCTCCAGATGGCATTCCATGAAATAACGTGTCGACGAAGCCAAAAGGAAGAAGAAGAACTAGAAATAATAGAAGTGATAAGAAAATTGATAAGATAATAACAAATACAGGTAAATAATAATCGAATTGTTGATAGTAGGTACTGGATATGGAATATCAAATATATTATCTTATTCCAGGAGGTTATTGAGAACACAAACTTGATGTTATCATCAGAGCAGAGATGTTTCATTCCAAGATATTTTGGCTTCTTCGGAATCTATCAAACATTGTATGAAGGCTTGAGCTTTCAGTAAATTCAATGAAGATAGGAACCTACCTCAATCAACTCGTTGATAATAGGCACTGCACATGAAATATTAATACATTATTATTTGTTCCAGGAGGTTATTGATGAGAACACAAACTTGATTATTATATCATCAGATCAGAAATATTTGATATTCCAACATGTTTTGGCTTCTTCGGAATCTATAAAAGATTGTATGCAGGCTTCAACTTTCAGTATAGATACAATAAAGGTATACTTGGTAGGAATCAAATCATTTTGATAGCAGGTAAGTATATCTACTGGACATAAAATATCAATACATTATTTGTTCCCGGGAGTTATTGAGAACACAAACTTGATGATATCATATTATTAGAGCAGAGATGTTTCATTCCAAGAAATTTTGGCTCCTTCAGAATCTATTGCATTGTATACAGGATTGAACTCTCAGTAGATTCAATAAAGGTAGGTATCAAAATCAAAACATTGAAAGTATAGGTAGGTACTGGACATGAAATATTAATACATTATTCATTTCAGGAGGTTATTGAGAACACAAACTTTTGATGCTATCATCAGAGCAGAGATGTTCAAATCAAAGATATTTTGGATTCTTCAGAATCTATGAAATATGATAATGAGTTTTCTCTGAGGAAGAAAGGAACAAGGGTGGGTGGATCAAATCATAGATATCACATGGATGTGAGATATTGAATCATTCTTCGTTTCAGAAGGTTGTGGAAAACACAAACTTGATGTCATCTATAAAATATTGTATGGAGGCTTCAACTTTCAGTAGATTCAGCATTAGGAAGCATATCCAGAGTTGAGGAATCAAAAACAACATAGAGAAATATTGCCAATGGGCAATAACATCTAGTAGTGCTCAACAAGAAGCTGAGATACTTTGTTTCAAAACGAAACTCGAATATCTTCACAATAAGTTATAAATAATAGAATGTAAGTTTTTTATTTGAACATATTATTATTCCAGGAAAATTTCGCAAATATCATGATATCCATATTTCTTCATTTTTATCAACCTATCCCTATACACATTTTGTAATACTACCTAGAGATGTTCCCATTATGTCCTGTACATGTACCAGAAGACCTTATAGGGATGTTCTAAGACGTTTTTAGGATGTAGAGAACGGTAACAGGAGGACGGTCTAGGGACGTCGTCAGGCTCGCACTCGTCGTCCTGAGGACATTATTGTGAACGCCTCAGAAGGGCCTCAAAAGGTATTTGTGCTATCTGGGATTGAACTATATCCTCCAGAAATCTATGCATCGATACGTATAAACGAATCATAAAGTAATTTCAATGTTCCTTTTCCTAATGTCGATTGATTTTCAAAGAAACACTTGCACTAGTATTCGTTTATACGTATCGATGCATATACTCCAGTAGGATGTGATTCAATGTTCTGCGTGGCATTAGCCAGGAAAGTAGTTGTTTTTCTCATGTGATCTACCATTGTTTTGTATTCATTTAATATTTCATTCACCTTGGCTATTAAAACACAACATTTTATTTTTGATTATTTATTTGTGAATGGATACGTGGTTGAAATTCATGCTCTTGTGGAATAAATAATTGAATTTCTTCACAAGGTTGGAATATATATATCAATATATCAAACTATCATTATTATTTTCAACAGCAATGACTTCGATTATCCGCTGAATATTAACCTGGAAATAGATATACAGCCCAATATTCCGAAACATGATTCACAGTATAGTTGATTGCATCTAATAACTGTTCAACGCTTTCCTAGTATCAGCTCCAACAAAAATATTATGAAGGCAAACACATTTCCCACAGTATCTAACAAAAAAATACCACTCAGATTTCCCAGACTGATAACTTGTGGTTCCTTCTGATAGGATATCCAGGTCTCTCTATTCGATATATACTCCTTCCTCAATAAAACGGACATCTCCAACGACGTTTGAAACGGTGAATTTTTCGGAATCAAATACACCAGGATTCCTGGAACCAAAGTCTCATCCACTATATTGTAAAATGGATCATTCCTCTGAGAAGAAAGGTAATGTTGAGCCGATGTTCTGCGCATAATATATGCCACATTAGTTGTTTTATTTTCTACCATGATGTCTATCATTTTCAAAGTGATCACCCTCAGCTGGTTCTCCAATCCATATTGCCTCGGAATTTCCTTCACTGAATATTTGGTGCCATATATATTGTATCCAGTAGCTTTCAATTCTTCCAAAGATTCTATATTATTTCCGAATATTGGATTCAAGATGACATCACAAATTTTCACGGTAATGATGGTGTTGAAAATAACACTGAATATAATCCAAGCTAGTAATACCAGTCGAATCAAAGGTTGTGAAGTGAACTTCGTTGGTGTAGGGGATTGCATTATGATTTGCCAACATATCAGTACATACTCCAGATACGTTCCTTTAGACTTTTTGTAGGAATACGATAAAATCTTGAGTGCTAGGGGAAATGCGACTAAAAGTGACAGGAGAAGAATCCAGGTTCCACTATCCCAGATATCAAGAAGTGACCTAATGACTGGTAATCTTTTCACTTTTGGTACTACAGCCACTATGTCATCATGTTTGCTATAAATGAAATCTCCCGAAAGCGAATTAAAAGATGAGGATATATCACTCTTATACACGAACCGACTGGTACCAATAATATCCACTGACTTGTTATGGATTCTCTGGGTTATTTCTGCTCGTTCTCCTTCAAAAAATATTGGTGTTGCTTTTAAGTGAGCAGTGATGTCTCTCATCGTAGCAGAATCCTCGCCAATCCAATAATTATCCATTTTTGACAGCGTAGGCGGATATTCGTAAATGCCAATTTTTATAGGGAAACCGTGAAAATCTCTCATCAAGACTGTCGGGAATCCACATTTGTCACATTTGACCAGGTCTTCAACTATTTCAAGAAAAGGGTTGTAAGAAAGAATTCTCAACTCTTCCCATAATATCACAAGTATGCTAGGAAATATTCGAATTTTCCACAAATGATCGAGATACACTGTGATGTTCTCATCATTTTTCAAAGGTGCACATATGAATATATGAGTAGGAGCATTATTCTTCAATACGGATGAGTTCATTAGTCCTTCGAAATAAGAGGAAATGTCTTGAAGGTATTCCAGGAAAACAAACTGTCCTAGGCTCATAACATCATTATCAGGTTCCTGAATTTCGCGTTTGTTGAGGATTACGGATGGACAACTGATAATTTTAATGAACATGTTAGCTGTTCTCCTTGATATTTCAGAATCAGGCTCAATGAATATATTACAAGTACTATACTCAACCATAGTTTTCTGTTTTTGTATCATTGCATATTTACGTACTCTTTTGTCTAGATCGTCATTTATCACACTGAATGAAAGGAAACATAAAATTGGATGGATTCGAAGAATCAGCAAGTAAAGTTGTAACTGTGACATTATCGAAGCTTGGTTTATATTGAACAGAAATTATATAACAAACGTTATAAATAAGAATGTCACACAGCGATACCATTAAGTCTACATAAGATTTATCATAATACTTACTGGTCATTACAGAACTAGTCACCAAATCATGTGATGTACAGTGTGATCAATTTGATGAATTTCCACACTAGAAATAATATTCCTGATTATCGGACTAGATTGATCATTAATTGGAATACTCAACTAGAATGGAATCTCCCACAGTATCCAATTCTGAGGAAACTGACCTGACACTAAAAATACCTGGAAAATACAGGGTGATTCAGGTAGGAAACACGTACATTGTAAGTTCTCCAACTCGCCGGCTACATAATCGATCCACTCAAAATATTGATAAAATGTTACCAACAATAACTTTGGTAATTCAAATCTGATTTGATTGATGTATCTTCCATTCCGTAGATGAATTTATGAGGACTCTCACAAGAGATTGAGATTTCAAATCCAAATTATATTCTTCAAAATTCGAATCCAAATTGTATTTTTCAAATTATACAGAGTGACACAAAAAGTGCATTTTTACTCCAATATCGAAACAATCTGTGGAGTTGTAGCGAGACTCTCGGTTAGGAAGGCAACAACGGCTCTCCAGACTTGAATCGCTAAGTGCGATACACTTTATTGGTGTTCAGGGGGGCCATAGACGACACAATTATCTTAGCGAACGTGTCCCCAAGCTAAAAGGCGTTACCACGAAATTATAATACATGACGAGAAATGACGTTATTGGAGACATTCAAAACATTTCAAATTGTTGGCACTAAACCACTCCTGTGCTCTACAGAAAGAATCTGCCAAACTGAGAGAGACTGTCTGCATCAATTCCAGTATTGAGCAAAGTTGTGTCATCCGCACAAGCAACACATTTATTTGGAAACAAAGAGTGAAACAGATCGTTTACATAAACGATGAATAATGATGGGCCCAAAACAGATCCCTGAGGTACCCCGTGTAGAATATTGGAAAAATCTGAATGGGATTCATTAATATATACTGCTTGCTTTCTGTTGTGCAGGTAGGATTGGAACAGATCGAGTGGTATGCCTCTGACATCATAAAAACGTAACTTCTGAATAAGAACCTTGTGTGAGACACAATCGAAGGCCTTCGAGAGATCGCATAGAGTAATAGATACATCCATGCCACCCTCAAGGCCTTCGACGATCTCACTAACGATTTTGAAACCGCCTGGGTGGTACTACATTTACTTCTAAACCCAAACTGGCAGCAGTTCAGGAGTCCATTAGATTCGAAATATTTCATGAATCTCTGTTTCAGTAATATCTCAAAAACCTTCGATATTATTGGAATAATAGATATCGGACGATAGTTTGCAATCTGTGAAACATCCCCTTTCTTAAATATTGGTATAACTTTAGTGACCTTCAAAATATCGGGAAACTTTCCTTCAGTGATGCATGCATTGAACAGAATTACCAATGGATAGACTAATAAATCTATTGTTTGTTTCAAGAATTCACTATTCATTCCGTACACATCGGTACATTTTGAGTTTTTCAAATTGCGCACAGCCTCGATCATTTCATAACTTTGATTTCATGTTCCGTTACTGGTTCTAGGAAGAAGCATGTACCTGGTGTAGGCATACCCTTCAAGAAACTCTCAGGGTCTACATTATTGTTTTCAATGGTCCCAATCAGGTTTCCTGCAATAGTGGAAAAATAATCATTGAATGAGCTAGCAGGTATAGTAAGATCAGTTGTTTTCTTCCTCGATTTATTTCTACTATTCTATTTGAAACCAGCGCAGAAAAAACATATGAGTATGAATAAAATGAAATGGTTTGATAAAGTATTACATATGATGATGTTATAACTGGATTCACAAATCTTTATTGCTATATAAATCTCGCACGAGTAAACGAAGTCCACTCGTATGATTCGCAAACTTCATTCTCGTGGGAAATGACTATCATTTGGTGCTACGCTATTTCTAAGAGGAATTGGTATGAACATTGACGAAGCATGAAATAGTTACATAAAAACAATCAAAAGCTTCATCAACCTCAAATAACTGCAGAACGTCTGGAAGTTGTTACCTATTCGATGATCATTCACACTCAGATTGAAGGTAATGATGTTATAAAGTGCAATTGAACTTGAATTTGAAAACGGAAAATGAATGATACAATTCATTGTTTGAGAAAATGATGCAGAATTCCAATTTGGCTTAATGAATTCAAGAAGTCCTAATAAATACAGAACAACCCTATAGGATTTCCGTTAATGTTCTGTATTGATATAGATATGTAATATATCTGCAAACTCCATCTTGGTCATTAGTACGAAAATTGTCACCTACAAAAATATGTCTTACTTCGTTTTATTTCATAATATACCACCTACTAGTAGATGGAACCAAGGATCAAGCTACCTAAACAGTGAACACATATAATATAGGTAATGATGGCGGCTGATGTTATTATAATAACAGACAAATCACTTTTTTTCATAAAACCAAACTTCCGTCATATCTGTGTAAGACCATGTAAGACAAACATTTATTTATTCACAGCAGAATGGGCGTTGTCAGGGGAATTTCAAAGGGGTGGTTGGAATTGTACAGGGTCTTCACGTATATTTTGAACCACCCCTTAACTATTTTATTTATCGTTTAATTATTTTTTATTCTCAAGGGATAGTTGGAATTCTCACGAAGATGTTATCAGTATAGTAAGTAAGTAAGTAAGTAAGTAAGTAAGTAAGTAAGTAAGTAAGTTTATTCAGTTAGAGTTTGAATGTACAGAGTTAGAACGTAGGTACAAATACATTACGGAACATATAAAAATATAAACCTATAGTTATTGTTATATGTATGTGAATATGAAACAAAACATCTATTTATATTCAAGAAAAATTTAATCAGAAGAAGCCTAGGTGGCTTAAATTTTTGAGCTTGAGTTGTGGAACATTCTTCTGCAATCAATATTTTACGATGCAAATATTGAATTACGAAACTGTAAGTACCTGAACTTAATCTATAAGAGTACGAAGAAAGAGAAAAGGAGCATTTATTCAAGTGAATATTTATCTTTATATTTTTTGAATTTATCAATTATCAATAATTTTCAGAAATAAAAGAGAGTGAGTTATCAAATATGTTTTTATTTGTTTTTTACGGAGATTTATATTTCTGATGTTTTTTATGTCAGCAGGCTGCTATAGAATTCCGGACCATATAACGTTATGAATTTTTGATTCTGGGTAAGTCTGAAGCAAGGGATAGAAAGGGCTTGCAAAGCATTTCTACGTGTTTCATAACCATGAGTAACTGTCAATTGAGGCATATTTGTCATCCATAGAAGCGACGTTTGTTTTTTTTTGAGAATTATTTTCAGTAGAGTGTTTTGTATAACCTCCAGATTGTGCACTGATGTTTTGAATGTTCCTCCCCAAACAATGAGACAATAACGTAGTATGGACTCAACTAGGGAATTATATACCATTAGCAACATTTTTTTATTCAATATATTCCTCAGCTGGTAAAATTCATAAATTAATTTCCGAAGTCTTTTAACTGTGTAGCTGATATGATCTTCGCAACGTTGATCTACGAAAACCCCTAGGTATTTAATAGATTTTGTCATCATAATTGTTTGACAAGGAGATTGAAGAATATCAGGGCAATCATAAGTGTGGAGTAGTAAATTATTTGGAATGTTGCGATCTCTAGATGTGGAGGAAAATGCAATGAATTTTGTTTTAGAAATATTAAGACCCAGCAGACTTTTGCTGAGCCAGTTATATACTGATTTCAATCCGCATTCTGCGTTTTGGTACGTTTCTGCCCATGTATTTCCAACAAATGTAATTGCTGTGTCATCAGCGTAGGATATAAATGTACCTTCGAAATTACTTATTGAGAATAATTCATTGATGTACAGAATGAATAGTATCGGTCCCAATACTGTCCCCTGTGGAACACCCATTACTATAGGTAATGGGTTACTAAGAGTATTATTTATTTTGACAACCTGTGTTCTGTTGGTCAGATAGTCTTTCAACAAACCTAAAGCAATACCTCGGATTCCGATATATTCGAGGCGTTCAAACAAGAGCGCATGGCGAGGCGCATGGTTAACGCGGTATCAAACGCCTTCGCTAAATCCAAAAATATTGTGAGACACCTTTTTTTATTTTGGAAGCTGGTCAGTATGTTATTAGTTAATTCAAATACAGCTTTTTTGGTAGATGAGTTTCTACGGACACCGTATTGTGAAGCAGATAATATTTCATTGCTATTACAGTAATCGATGATTCTATTCTTGATGCATTTCTCAAAGATTTTTGCAA